ACGAAGCCAACTAGAAAATCTATGTATGAAAGGGAAGTTTATCAATGGTAAGTTTCACTGACTAGTGATCAGACAGAGACTGCCCATATCACCAGGAGACACCCCCAAAGATCAGTGTGTATGTGTATGTATATGTATGTATACATATATGTGTATTTTATTTTTTCAAGTATAGACTTTATATATATATTATATTTATATAGAAACTGTATGTATATATAAATACATACATATTTTTCCCCTCCTAGTTGAATCAGTCTTCTAAGGGAGAAACCCACCAATCCTGCCTGAGATAAATAAGACAAGCTAAATGCATCCTGGGAGACTAGTAATAAAAGTCTACTGGAGGGTATCAACACTCACTATGAAAGCATTCGTTCTCAGTATGGAGTCTCACTCCTATCCATACCTGTACTCACAGCCCCTAACTCTGGTTTCTCCCTAGAGTTGTGCTGTCCAATACAGTACCCACTAGCCGCATGTAGCTATTTGAATTAATTTCATCTAAATTACATCTTGAATAAAAAAAAATTCACATACCAGCCATATTATAAAGTGCCCAACAGCCATTTGGTGGCTAGCACATTGGACAGTGAAGATATAGAACATTTCCATCACCACAAAAGTTTCTAATGGACAACACTGCTCTATGGAGTAAATTCCAGGCTTCTGGTAAGGCAAGAAGCAATAGTTATTTGGCTTCTGATCTGAGAGAAAGAATCTGAGAAAAACTACCTACTCCTCAGAGTAAACCCCAGGCTTTTGTGAGTGCAAGAGAGGGACTGTCATATGGCTGCAGAGCTAAAGACAAGAATATGAGGATGTAAATCTTAGATCTGTAGTGCCCAATGGTAGCCACTAATTACATGAAACTGTTTAAATTTGAATTAATCAAAATAAAATTCAATTAAAAATGTGGTTCCTGTTCTGGCCAAGATGGAGGCATAGGTAAAAACCCTTGGCTTCCTTGTACAGCCAAAAGGAGGATAATAACCAAGCTAAAATCAATAAACAACCAGAAGTGGGAGAAAATCAAACTGCATGGAACTTCAACAAACACAGAGTTAAAGAAACAGTCAACCAGACCAACCAGACTGGTAGGAGGGAGTAGAGGGAGTAGAGGGAGTAGAGGGAGACAGGCAGAAACCACAGCAAGGCAGTGGACTACGTGGGCAGGGCTGGCTGATAGGACCTCCTGTGAGGTGGTGAACTGTGTGGGCAGGGCTGGCTAAATGGTAAACTGAGACTCAGAGCTGACTGTGGACTATAGCGGGGTTTGCCACAGTGGGAGAAATTCCCAGTCTCATGAGAGTTCATTGGAAAGTGAGGCTAAGAGTAAGTGAGCTGCATTGTTCCCTCTCTGACCCTGGACCCACAGACAGTGGCACAAATGCAGCAAAGACAGTTGCCCTGCCCTGGTGAATACTTAAGACTCCACCCCCTTACAACTTAACAGGTGTGCCAAGACAAAGAAAGATGGCCTAAATGAAAGAACAGAGCAAAACTCCACAAAGAGAGCTAAGCAATGAGGAGATAGCTGACCTATTTGATGGAGAGTTCAAAACACTAGTAATAAAAATACAGAACTGACTGACCTTGGTTGAAAAATGAAAGAGCAAATGAAGGATACCCAAAGTGAAATAAAGCACAATAATCTGGGAACCAACAGTGACAGAAAGGAAACCAGGATTCAAATCAACAACTTAGAACAAAAGAAAGAAAGAAACACCCAACCGGAACAGAATGAAGAAACAAGAATTCAAAAACGTGAAGAGAGGCTTAGAAACATTGCGGGACAACTTTAAATGTTCCAATATCCGAAATATAGGAGTGCCAGAAGGAGAACAACAGCAAGAAATTGAAAACTTATCTGAACAAATAATGAAGGAAAACTTCCACAATCTGGCAAAGAAAATATGCTTTCAAGAAATCCAGAGAGTCGCAAAGAAGTTGCACCCAAAGAGGGACACACCGAGGCACATCATCATTAAGTTATGCAAGATTAAAGACAAAGAGAACATCTTAAAAGGAGCAAGAGGAAGGGACACAGTTACCTACAAAGGAGTTCCCATGAGGCAATCAGCCGGTTTCTCAAAAGAAACTGCACACAAGAAGGGGCTTGAAAGAAGTATACCAAGTGATGAAAAGCAAGGACCTACATCCAAGATTACTCTATCCAGCAAAGCTTTCATTTAGAATGGAAGGGCATATAAAATGCTTCCAAGATAAGGTCAAGTTAAAGGAGTTCATCATCACCCAGCCCTTATTATATGAAATGTCAAAGGGATTTATCTAAGAGAGTGAAGAAGATAAAAAATTATAAAAAGTAAAATGATAACAAACTCACAACTATCAACAACTGAACTTTAAAAAAAGCAACAAAAACAAAAACTAAACAAACAACTAGAACAGGAACAGAATCAGAAAAATGGACATCACACAGAGGGAGTTCAGTGGGGAGGGGGAAGGGAGTAATGGGGGGAAAAGGTACAGGCAATAAGAAGCATAATTGGTAGGCATAAAATAGACAGGGAGAGGTGAAGAATAGTATAGGAAACAGAGATTTCAAAGATCTTATATGTACAACCCATGGACATGAACTAAGTGGGGAGAAATGCTGGAGGGTTGTGGGGTACAGGGAAGAGGGGCAATAAAAAGGAAAAAAATTGGGAGAAGTGTAATAGCATAATCAATAAAATATACTTAAAAATTTGGTTTTTTGATAATGTATATATTTTGAGTTCTCAGTAGCCACATGTGCCAAGTGGCTATGGTATTTGACAGCACAGTTTATAAAACATTCCCATTGAGGGGAAGCAGAGTTTGCCGCCTCAAAATATGCCTTTTGGGGATATTGATTATTTTTAGCTAGTTATTTTTAAGAAACAAAAGACTCAAAATATGCCTTTTACCTCCTCACCTGTTGAAAAAATTTAGATAGAAAAAACTGCTCCAGGAAGGGATATCACCTTAGCATGTTATGAACTAAATGTGGTAAACAGGAACCCGCAATGTCTGTTCATTAGAATCCCCTCTGTGTCTAGATACCATGGCAAGAATTTGTTTACCACACATTTGCTCCTTCTTATCTAGCTGTGAATTGCCTACTTTCCCTTTGCGTTCCAAACCACCACCCCTCTTTCTGAGAACACTGGATATAAATTTCAGCTCCCAAATTTGTCCTGGGGTCCGATATTCTTAGAGAACCCCCATATATATGAGGTCTGTCCAAAAAAAATCCAACTTTGTTAATATAACAAGAATGGTTTGTGCAACATCAATGTAACCTGGCAGCTAAAGAGAGTGGACTGGAATGTGCATCTGTGAACAATGATGACTTCAATGTACTAGTCAGTGGGGGTGGTAGACACCACTGAAAGCATGTGTACTATGTGGCCACTGTATTCAAAATGACTGAGCGAGTAGAGCAGTGAAACTGTATCAAATGCTGCATTAAGGTAGAACACCCGTCTGCAGAAATTATCCAGATGATTCAGAAGGCTGCAGCTATGGGCAACTGGTGATTGGCAGCTTCATCACAACAACGTGCCTGCTCATGCATCACGTCTTGTGCAGTTTTTTGGTGAAACATCAAATCACCCAGGTCATTCAACCCTGTATAGCCCAGATTTGGCACCCTGTAACTTCTGACTTTTCCTAAAACTAAAATCACCTTTGAAAGGAAAGAGGTTTCAAGGTATGGATGAGATTCAGGAAAATATGATGGGGCAGCTGATGGAGATTGGGAGAACTGTGTGAGGTCCCAAGGTGCCTACTTTGAAGGGAACTGAGGCATCAGTGCCCTGTGTACAATATTTCTTGTATCTTGTATCTTCTTCAATAAATGTCTCTATTTTTCATAGTACATGACTGGATACTGTCTGGATAGACTTTGTACATACATATGATAAATTTGACCATTTTCTCCTGTTAACCTGTCTCATGTCAATTTGATTATTAGACCAGACAGGGTAAATGAAAAGTTATTTTTCCTCCCCATATTGTCATTCAGAAACTTTTACTAGACAGCAGTGCCTTAGACATTGTACAGACTTTCATCTCTATATTCAGAGCTACGTTTCCTCCAATAATCAACAACAAGAAAACCTAGTCATTCCCAGGTTTAACACAGTAAATCAATTTGTTTCTTGTTGCCTTTTCCCACAGCAGACACAAATTTCAGCTTTCCTCATCCTTCTAAGGTAGCTACTACCAGGACTCTTGCCAGCCTTTATCAGAATTAGAAAAGGCACCTCCTCTGGAATGAGTAGAATGTATCTCTGCAGGAGGAAAAAGGCAACCCTTTCTCTAGATGGATGCAAACCTTGTGTTAGGGCTACACATGGCTTAAAAGTAGAAAGGAGGCTGGAGTTGCCTGCCATATGCCTTCTACAGCAGATAATCTTGTGTATGTAATATAAGTAGAGAACCTAGTTGACACTATTTCATATATTTTCCATTTTCCAAAATACTGTTGCCATGTCTCCCTTGTCCTCTCTCTTTGATTCTTTGTCCTTGTGGGCTTATATTTTTGTGTATTCCTTCACTCTCATTTTAGTGGATCCCACATGGATTTAATCCTCAAACTAAAAGTCTAAATTAATACTTTTATACTTGTGTACTTTTCTTTCTAGCATGATTCCATCTATTAGTGCTAAGAAAGTACCTCAATCACTCACACAAGTGTCAAGCAGATATATACCTGAATGGAACAGAGGTAGAGAGACTGCATAGTCTATCCTTTAAAATAACACTGACAACCAGAAGTATCAGTTCACAAGCGAAATGTTCATAGCTGGGTTTTCCAAATCCTATTCTCCAGAAACTAAGATAAAACTCCTACCAATGTTAAAAAGCTACTTCTCAGAAAAAAAAAAACTCCTTTAGACAATAATACATCAACAAAAAATTAACTTACTTTTGATTTTTTTTTTACTTACCAGTAACAGACATAATTCTGAATAAAAAAAGGAGAAACAAGTATCATTTTTATTACAAACCTGCGCTGGTGGTACTTGCAATGGATTGTTATCCAAAATTATTACTTGTAAATGATGTAGCTTTCTGTAACAAACTGGAATTTCGGTCACTTTATTACAAGAGAAATCCAGCTTGACTAAGGGAAGATCTCCTAATTCTGTTCAGAAATAAAAAATAATTAAATTAAATTTTACGTAGTTACTCTTTCATTCATGTCAGTAAAAACAGTAAGCATCTTACCATCTGGCAATGCATGAAGATTATTTCTTCTTATATTGAGCTCTCTCAGTGAATGTAATTGCCCCATTTGTTGGGGAAGAACCTGAATCTCATTGCAGCTAATATCCTATAAAAAACAAGAAAATAAAATTATAACAAACTGACCAATACAGATCTATTTCAATTCTTAAAGTACATGGCTAACAGCTAGTGAAAGTTACCTTTCTGAATTTTTTTACTTTTAATTTACACAGTTGATATACAGTATTACATTAGTTTCATATGTACAACCTTGTGATTAGACATTTATATAACTTGTAATCACCCCAATAAATCTAGTATCCATGTGACACCACATATAGTTATTACAATATTATTGACTATATTCCCTATGCTGTACTTTATATCCCCATGACCATTTTGTTACTACCAATCTGTATTTCTCAGTGCCTTCACCTTGTACCCACTTCCCAAAGCCCCCTCCCATCTTGAACTGTCAAAATGTTCTCTGTATCTGAGTCCACTTTGATTCTGTTTGTTTGATTTCAGATTCCACATATAAGTGAAATCATTTTGTGCATTTAATTTTTCCTGCATGACTTATTTCACTCAGCACAACACCCTCTAGGACCATCCACAATATTGCAGATAGCAAGATTTTATTCTTTTTTTATGGTTGAGTTATACTGCATTGTATATATGTACCATGTTTTCTTTATCCATTTATTCGTTTATTGATGGATACTTAGGTTGCATTCATATCCTGGCTATGATAAATAATGCTGCAATAAACATGTGGATATATATGTCTTTCAACTTAGTATTTTTGGTTTCTTCAGATAAATACTCAGAAGTGGAATCATTGGGTCTTTTCTTGTCTATTATAGCCTTTGTTTTAAAGTCTATTTTGTCTGGTTTAAGTATTGGTACCTTAGCACACTTTTTAAAAAATATATTGCATTGATTATGCTATTATAGTTTTCACAATTTTTCCTCCCTTTTATTTCCCTCCACCCTGAACCTACCTCGCACCAGCATCCCTACCCCCCTCAGTTCATGTCCATGGGTTGTACATATATGTTTTGGGGGTTCTATATTTCCTATACTATTCTTAACCTCCACCTGTCTATTTTCTACATACCACTTATGATTCTTATTCCCTGTACCCTTTAGCCGCTTCCCTCCGTCCCTTCCCTGCTAATAACCCTCCATGTGATCTCCATTTCTGTGTTATGTTCCTGTTCTAGTTGTTTGCTTAGTTTGTTTTTGTTGTTTTGTTTTTAGGTTCAGTTGTTGATAGTTGTTTGTTGTCATTTTATTGTTCCTAGTTTTTATCATCTTCTTTTTCTTAGATAAGTCCCTTTAACATTTCATATAATAAGGGCTTGGTGATGATGAACTCCTTTCACTTGACCTTAAATGGGAAGTACTGTATCTGCCCTTCCATTCTCAATGACAGCTTTGCTGGATAGAGTGATCTTAGATGTAGGTCCTTGCCTTTCATCCTTTGGAATACTTCTTTCCAGCCCCTTCTTGCCTGCAAGGTTTCTTTTGAGAAATCAGCTGATTGCCACATGGGCACTCCTCTGTAGGTAACTGTCCCCTTTCCTCTTACTGCTTTTAAGATTTTCTCTTTGTCTTTAATCTTGAGTAACTTAATGATGATGTGCCTCGGTATGTTCTTCTTTGTGTCTAACTTCTTTGGGACTCTCTGAGCTTCCTGGGCTTCCTGGAAGTCTATTTACTTTGCCAGATTAGGGAAGTTTTTTTCATTATTTATTCAAATAAATGTTCAATTTCTTGCTCTTCCTCTTCTGGCACCCCTATGATTCATATGGTGGTACATTTAAAGATGTCCTAGAGTTTTCTAAGCCTCTCCTCATTTTTTGGAATTCTTATTTCTTCATTCTATTCTGATTGAATGTTTATTTCTTCCTTCTGCTCCAAATTCTTGACTTGAGTTCCAGTTTCCTTCCCTTCATTGTTGGTTCCCTGTATATTTTTTTCTTTATTTCACTTTGCATAGCCTTCACTTTTTCCTCTATTTTGTGACCATACTCAACCATTTCTATGAGCATCCTGATTACCAGTGTTTTGAACTCTGCATCTGATAAATTGGCTATCTCTTCATTTCTTACTTCTATTTTACCCTGGCATGTTTTTGTTGTTTTCATTTTCATGAAATATCTTTTCCCATCCCTTTCCTTTCAATCTGTGTGTGTCTTTTCGTTTGAAGTAAGTCTCTTGTATACAGCATATGTAAGGCTCTTGTTTTATGATCCATTCAGCTACCATGTCTTTTTTAAAAATCCTCACCTGAGCATATGTTTATTGGTATAAGAGAGGAAAGAGAGTGAGAGTGATAGAGAGATAGAGAGATAGAGAGAGAGAGTGCAACATCAATGTGAGAAACACTGATCTGTTGCCTCCTGCAAAAGCCCTGACTGAGGATGGAACTGCAACCTAGTATGTGCCCTAATCAGAAATCAAATCCACAACATTTTGGTGTATGGGACAATGTTCCAACCAACTGAGCCACCCAGCCAGGGCCCATGTCTTTCAATTAGAGTATTTAATACATTTGGATTTAAAATAATTATTAAAAGGTATTTATTTGTTGCCATTTTATTATTCATACTTTTATCACTTTTTCTTCTTCTTAAAGAAGACCCTTTGACATTTCTTGTAAAACTGGTGTAGTAGTGAAGAACTCCTTTAGCTTTTTCTTGTCTAACCTTTGCTGGATAGAGTGATCTGGGCTGTAGTCTTTGCTTTTCATCACTTTGAATATTTCTTCCTAATCCCTTCTGGCCTGCAAAATTTCTTGAGAAATCAGCTGACAGTCTTATGGGTGCTTCCTTTTAGGTAACTAACTGCTTTTCTCTTTCTGCTTTTAATAATCTCTCTTAAAGAATCTTTATATTTAACCTTTGCCATTTTAATTATGATGTGTCTTACTGTGGGCCTATTTGGGTTCATCATGTTTAGGACTCTCTGTACTTCTTGGACTTATAGGTCTATTTCCTTTATAAAGTTAGGGAAATTTACCATCATTATTTTTTTCCAAATAGGTTTTCAATTCCTTGCTCTCTCTCTTCTCCTTCCAGGACCCCTTTGATGCTAATGATGTTACACTTGAAGTTTTCCCAGAGGCTCCTTACCCTATCTTCATTTTTTACGGGTTCTTGTTCCTTCTTGTTGATCTGATTGGGTGTCTTCTTTTTCATTATCTTCCAAATTGCTTACTTGATCCTCTGCATCATGTACTCTACTGCTACAAAAGTTACCTTTAATGTTGTTTTTCTAAAGACGGATTATCTGACTGACTTCTATTTATATTACATCATAAAATCAACCTAGTACAGGTAACATAAAATTTTCTGTGCAAAAATATGAGGTTATAATTTAGTACTACATAAGTCTACCATTGGAAAATCTCAACTGAAGACTACGTTCATCAACTCAAATCAAAAAAGCAAGGGTGATCCAAGTGCTCTTTTTTCAGAGGTAAAATAAAAGACAACTATCAACTATGTGATAATCTATCAATTTTAGTAGTTGTTTTCAGATGCTTGATTGGGTAGAAACCAAGCAAGTCAGTATTTTACACAGGTAAGCTGAAGAACTAAAGAAATGGCCAGAATTGATTTAACTAAGCCTCTTTCTCAAAAGGATACAAAATATGCAATATCACAAATAAACAATTTTATGGCTCACAACCCAAAGACAATTCAGAAAATATGAATAATAAATGTCTCGGGCTTAAATTAAAATGCAAGCCCTGATTTAAAATAAAAAATACCACATTTCCATAAAAATAGGATAAAGAACAGTTTAAGTTAATTATCCTCTCCTCTCCCTCCCCTTTATTACCACATCAACAAAAAGGGGAAAAACATCTGCAATAAGATCTTAGCACTCATTCCAGACATACTGCAAATGAAATTCATATTCTATCACAACTGCCTCCAATTTCCAACTTTCACTGGAAATTATATTGGCTTGGAGGGAGAAAAGGGACACATATTAAGTCTTATCAAAAGTAAAAAATGCAGGAAGGTAAATTCAAAAGAATATTAAATAGCTAATAATCTAATTTATAGATTATTAGAAAATGTATTTTATATACTTCTTTCAAACTATATTTAAGGCATCTTTATTCAACACAAATATTTATCAAGTACCAACTATTTGCCAGGCACTGTTCTAATTGCCAGCAACTGTGGGAATTCAGAAGGAGCCACCCTAAGATGTGACTCAGTGGTATGTGCATTATTTTGAATTAAAGGCAACCAAGACCTGATGGCCTCAAAAGAAACTTATGCTCCTTGCCACCCTCCTTAAATATCTGGAAGAAATAAAATTAGAAGCCTGGCCCACAGTAAGAGTTCTCATCAGAAATGTCTTTTTATCTATCTATGTGGCAAGGCAAACTACTAATTACTGAACATGTGCCCTCCCTGGAGTGACCTTCTGAAGCCCCAAGGTATATTACCTCATCCCTAGCTAAAAATGTCATATATAGCCATATTCCCTTTCTGTCTCCGAACCTTTCCTACATGCTGGTCCCTGTCAGGGTTGTCCAAACTCTTGGCATCTCTGGGCCACACTAGAAGAAGAGTTGTGTTGGGCCACACACTGAATACACAGACACTAATGAAAACTGATGAGCCAAAAAAAAGTTTAAGTAAATTTATGATTTTGTGTTGGACTACATTCATAGCCATCCTGGGCCACATGTGACCCACAGGCTGCAGGTTGGATACCCGAGTCTAATATATATGAAATCCCCATACATTTCTATTACATGTGGTTGTTTTCTCTTGGTAATCTGTCTCATGTCTGTTTGCTTATTAGACCAGCCTAAAGAACCTTGTAGGTAGAAGAAAGTTTCTTCCTCTCCCACAGGAGACATCAAGGAATAACAAAAAAAATCTGCCTTTATTGTTTTTTATAGAGCTTATATTCTAGCAAGGGGAAGACTATATAATATACTAGAAGATGTTAAGTGCTATTTAAAAGAAAACACTGCAGGTTAAAAGAAAATGGCAGTGCCAGTAGTTAGTAGGGAGGGACATTAGCAATTTATTTTTTTAACAATTTATGAATTTTTTTAGAGAGGAAGGG